GAAAACCAAAAATGGATTTTAAAAATGAAAATGAAATTTGAAAACGGAAATGGATTTTTAAAATGAAAATGGAATATGAAAACGAAAATAGAATTTAAAAATAAAAAATAGATTTTAAAAACTAAAATAGATTTTGAAAATGAAAATCGAATTTGAAAACGAAAATAGATTTTAAAAATGAAAACGGATTTCAAAAATGAAAATGGATTTAAACAACTGTTTTTTAAAATAAAAACAGAACCCAGAAACGAAAGTGGGTTTAAAAATCGATTCCAGAACCGAAAGTGGTGTTTAAAAAGGATTATAAAATATAAATGAGTTTTCAAAATGTAAATGAATTGTAAAAATGGTTTTATAAAACGCCATGTTGTGAGCCACCTCGGTTGCCGTAAACGTGTGACCATGTGTCATCAGTTGAAACCACTGACCTTTGAACCTTTATATTGATAATATAGCAAACAGCGGGTGAGTCGGACACATCCGTGTTGCTGATATTGTCGTCATGTCGCACGACGGACAGGGGCCCGACGGCTTACAAGGTAATCACAACATTAGCGGTAATTTACACGTAATGTGAAATTACGTAGTGCACATATTTTCCAAATTCAAAAATATACATATCGCGAATACGTCACGTTAATGACATGATTCAACATACTTTTTATTTATTTACTTATTGACTCTTACACAATCTCCGGAGGGAAAGAAAATGATATGCAATATTTATGGCACGTTTTAAATTGTATTGTAACTAATTGTAAATTGTATTGTAAATTGTATTGTAAATTGTATTGTAACTAAATAGTAACTATAATATAAAATAAAGTGTAATATATAATTTCACGTATTGCATTGCATTGCTGTACTTGCTGGAGGATTAGTTATCTCGGTTCCACCCAGACGGCAGAAGATTAATACGTGTTGTGGTTCAATTGGACAATACATATGGAAACGGGGCTTATGGTTGGCTAACGAAACTGAGCCCGCTACACTAATAAAGTCTTATGATATACCTAGGGCACATTAAGAGTGACTACTGTCCGTGATATGTATGGCTTCTCGGACACAGAGTTGAGGTCAAACTGTGTGACAAATAATCTGAATAAAATCCGATGTATGTAGAGGCGCCATTGTATTATTTGTATATGTATGTTTATTTATTCTTTGGTGTCACGTGCCTTATTGAGTTATTTTATATATCGCAAACAAATGGAGCCTACCTAGAACATTCAATAACATGTAATGAAAATGGTTTCTGAATATTACATCTTATATAAGTACTATTAATATATATACACCCATAATATAAATTGAGTTATACTCACGGGGTTTAATATCGGCTTGGTCGCTCCTGGTTGAGGGTAGCACATCTGCGGATAGGCCGCCCCCGGTGTAGGGTAAGCGCCACAGCCACCACCGCCCATCGCTGGGTTCCAACCGGCAGGTGACGGATATGCCATGATTTGTAAATATTATCTGATATATGTATAAATGAAATGATCCGACAACAAGCAAGGTTTCAGCTCAGTATATGGCGTTATAGCGAATTGTCGAGTCCCTTGTACTCTGAGATTATGACCTCGTAGCCATACTATTCACACACTCTGATTGGTTGTATTCATACGCGAGGTATTTAAATAGTTCTTGAATATAATCATAAGTTTAATGTTAGAATAGACCAAAATAACGCAACGAATAGTGTCATAGTATTATTGAACAGTGTGTGTGCGTACATAAGTGTACATGTACTTGTGTTTTGTCATTGACTATATAATTGCTTATTGTTTTGAAAATGCGCGGATGAATATTCAGTGACAAGGCAATATCGATAGCACAACACAGGATAAATTTTATTTTGACTACCCTTGCATTACTTTTTTTAAATAATTTAAATAAATAATTTGATTAACACTTGCACATTCCCCGGAGGGATTGGCAATGGTTACAAAAGTTTAAGAAGGAATAAAAGGTTACAAAAAAGTTACAGTATAAGCATTCTTTTTATTTAACCATAGTCCCTATATAGACTAGAGGAGAGTTTATGTCTTATTATACATGAACATTTTCTGTTGGAATACCAAATGAATCGTGTCTCGGAACGCCACGTATCAGGAAAAACGACCGTAATGCCACGATGTCGATAAAGATTGAACTGGAAGTGTATCGCAAAGTAGACATCATTTCAATGACACAGCAGGTAGTACAATAACTACAATCAATATTTATTCAACATGAAAACATACCACTAGAGTAGTTTAAGGGCTATACAATATAAAACATCACTTAACGGGAAAGACAAACATAATGCTGAGAAAAAACATTTTATCAAGTTTTCACAACAGTGGCTATGACGTCATACTATAGTCCTTTACTGGGGAATCAAAATGGTGAACTGAAAAATTACTGATAGAATGTTGAATATCTAGAGAATGAAAAGTGATTTAAAAACGGTATAGTGCATTCTGTATATTGAGTATGCAATATCGCGTCTCCATGATGATCCGTGGTACATCGTGGCCATTTCACAATGTAATCTCATCCTTACAATTAATTAAATAAAAAATTAGTATATTAGTCTTATTTTTGATTCGCTGTTAACATAACTCTGTACCATGATATTGGTGATATATGAATTGGGTGCCATAGGATAGTACTTGATGGCCAACCAACCTAATCAAATATGTATTTTGCATTGTACGAGTGCAAAATAAGTTATTGGGAAATTAGGATATTAGTACCAGCTGTTCTATACGCATGCGCATTGGCCGATCCTGTCAAATCGCGTCATCTGTTTTGGGGCGTGTCTGGTCAATGTAAAATTGCTTCAGTCATTGGGTAACGGAATTAACTGGTGTATGTTTGAAAACCACTGTAAAGTGGCGGTAAAAGGAATTTGCGCGGTTTGGAAAGCACGTTTCCGGGGAGGAGAGGTGTCGTGGCGTGGTGAGTAGATTTGCTCCACAGGACGCCGAGCTCAAAAGTTGGGCGTCGGTACCGACGGAGAGGGAATATGGTGTCGAGCGACCAACATAGTACTTAAACCAAACTTAGAACTCGCAATACTGGTGCAGACGACTATGGTAGAACAACCATGAAAAATAAATGGCGGGTGTTGCACATTTAGCACAGAAATAGAAGACACGCCCACAGTTGGACAACCAATCATTTTATTATTGGTCACGATGTACTGCGGATCATCCCCCACACCCTTTGTAAACACCACATGCACGATGTGCCGTCATCCAATGGCGGGATGAGCGGCTTCCTTTGTGCACAATCAGCGTCAACTTCAAGAGAGAAATACGACGCACTTGCTAAGTCAGAACGTCTGGTGGCGCCCTACTATTTCATCATCAATAACCAAATATACTATTATTCTGTTACCGAATTGGACATTTGTTTATTTGAAGTAATTTCCAATTCTACGCCAGGTCCTTAGGAATTAATGATTCCATGTATTTATTTGGCCGTTATTTGACAGACTTAAAATGCCATAATGTTAATTCGCGAAAATTTAAACGCACTGATACTAATAATGAATTAAAAATTTGCCAAAAAATACTAAATTTGCTATCCCATGGAAATAATTGAAATCAAAAT